TGTTTATTTTAATTTGATTACGAAGTTTCAATTTGGATTATACTTGCATCAATTATAATAATGAGACTTAGTGAAAATTTCCTTAAAGTATATATGATTCTTATTTTTAGAAATAAATAAAATATGTTTTTATCATGAAACAAATTATTGTGGTTATAATCATCAAAATCCTAATATTATTACTTTTGGTATTCACAATATTATGTGAATTATATTTTTATTTAATGATAGAAAACTAAACAAATTTTGTATTTTTATTTATTAAATTTAGATATTATCTTATTGTAGTGCAATATTAATTGATATCCTTTTACTTGATATAATAATTTTTAGCTCTAAAAGATTTTTAGGGGAAAATAAGAAGAAAAACATAAGAAAAAAGATCAAAGAGCTAAAATAGCTTGCAAAAATTCAATAGTAGAATGAGTGATTAAAACATTGAATGTCATCCATCTATCAATTTTCTTTATTATATTTTATGATATTCTGATTAATATTTTAGTTATCAATTTATATTTATTCTAATTATTTAGATATACATAACTAACTTTTCTAATTTTTTAGATTTTGATTTAATTATTTTTTTAATATTATAAATTATAGTTTTTTAATAAGAAATGATAATATTTGCCTTAGTTTATTACAAATTTTAAGTTGTTGTAATTATATATTAAACTTAAATTATATTTTATATTTTTAATCTTAATTTATTAATTTGAAAAGATTACTCAATTCTTTTAATTAAGTAATATCTTTTTTTTATTTTTACTAAACCCTTAATTTTGCAAAACAATCTTTATAGTTCTACATTCATAAACTTAATTCCATTTAGATCTGGGATAAAAATTTAGAATACACATTTCTCATTGTTTCTACTTATTTATAATTAAAGCAAAAATTGAAAATAAATAGGTCAAAATATTTATTTTTGCATTAATGATTAATTAATCAAATATAACATCTCGTTTTAAGTTAGAATATAACTTATATTTTGAGGTGAAGCACGTATGTATACCTTTTATAATTCCACCTAATTTTGTAACAATGAAAAATATTGATTATAAATTTCATAACTTTGGAATTATTCCAACATTTTTGTTTTCTTGCAGATAAAAAATATAAGGACCATTGTGTTTAAGTTGTTGTAATGAATTTTATTGTAAAGCACGAAACAAGATTAGTTATGATTTTAGATTATGGTCAGGACAGTTATTTTAGATAATGCTAGACCATTTTTGGAGTTTCTAACTCCTAAACCTAGTTGAGTAAACTTAAAACTTCATTCATTCTATTATTTCACTAATAAATAGGTGAGATCTATCATGCATCTGAAGTGCATCAGAGTAGAATGTCATTTTTAATTCTGTTCGTTTTTTTCACATATTTTAGTTATTCTTCGTTCTAGATTTTCCCTTCCATAATTATTTTGAATCTTAATCTTAGATCATTTAATTAAAGGATTTTAATTAATTTTGTTCATAATCTATCTGTCCAATATTTAAATGTCTTTTATAATTCCCTATCTTTATGCATTCTTTCTATTTTTCACTTGATGATGATAATTTAGGTTAGAATTATGTAAATAATTGTTCGATTACTTGTAAAAAGTCTTATTTACTTCAGGCTCTAATGTTTATTAGCTATAAAATAATCTAAACAATTTCATAAATAACATCATTGAGTTAACACTGTTTGCCTTAAACCCTGATGAAAAAATAGATTTTTCTATAGATACAGCATCAATAACAATTTAAAAATCCAAAACCCTCTCTTATAATTCTAGTAGAATTTTATAAGAAATAAATAATGAGAATACAACAATTTATGACATCGTTTAGGCAGTTTACATTAGAAACTTTTATGCTTTTGATGGTTATTTCCCATATCCATAGTAAATTTATCCATTATATGTATATTAAATCAGATAGTCAAATCGAAAAGAAAATATTGACTTAAATTAACCTATCTCATATCGATTTGGAATTCAAAATGATACTAAAAACTTGGTTTGTTTATAAAGAAATGCTAAGACTTATGAATGGTTTGATTAAAATTGCACACTCTCGGAAATAAATTCAACTTACTATTGTAATTGTACTTCTCTCTCTCCTACAACTATTTGTAATGACTACAAATTTCTTTATTAAGGTACTTAAGGATTCCGAATTAATATTCCAAATATTTTTTATATCATTTACATTATTTAATTAATAATTTTAGGAATATTTGTAAGCAAATCAAAAGTGTAAGAGAATGAATAATAAACCGAAAATACTAAATTTGGCCGTGTTTTTTAATTAGCAAAAAATAGTAAAGTGAACATTATAGGCAACTAAGTCTATCGAGTTGAACAAGGAAAGGACATTCGAGAATTAATAACAAAGCCTTAAATAAAAAATTAAAATTAATAAAATGATAAGTTTCATTTTAATCATTTCTGGGTACTAAATTTTAGTTTATTCTTAGAAATACCATTGCTTAACATAATTGATATTTAAATAATAAATTTACTTAAGTCCATTAATGAGATCCCTTTTAATATTATTAAGATGGAATTCAGCAGTGATTGTTGGAGAAATTTTATGTTTGTTTTAATTTGATTACTAAGTTTCACTTTGGATTATACTTGCATCAATTATCATTATGAGAATTAGTGAAAGTTTCCTTAAAGTATATATGATTCTTATTTTTAGAAATAAATAAAATATGTTTTTATCATGAAATAAATTATTTTGGTTAAAATCATCAAAAACTTAATATTATTACTTTTGGTATTCACAATATTATGTGAACTATATTTTTATTTAATGATAGAAAACTAAACAAATTTAGTATTTTTATTTATTAAATTTAGATATTATCTTATTTTAGTGCAATATTAATTGATATCCTTTTACTTGATATAATAATTTTTAGCTCTAAAAGATTTTTAGGGGAAAATAAGAAGAAAAAAATAAGAAAAAAGATCAAAGAGCTAAAATAGCTTACAAAAATTCAATAGTAGAATGAGTGATTTAAACATTAAATGTCATCTATCTATCTATTTTCTTTATTATATTTTATGATATTCTGATTAACATTTTAGTTATCAATTTATATTTATTCTATTTATTAAGATACACAAAACTAACTTTTCTAATTTTTAGATTTTGATTTAATTATTTTTATAAATTAGAGTTTTTTAATATTTTTTTTGTTTACTTTTTTTAATCATTTATAGTTCTCAACTATTTATATCGTTAATTTGATCATAAAATTTAATATTCTAATATAAACATAAATATAATATTTTTTTTAATATTTACTTTTAATATAATTATCAAATGATCGACGGCAATATAAATTCTAATATCAACAAAAAATTTCAGTCAAACCCAAATTTTACTTGAAAGCTTCCTCAAACCCTATTTGAATTATTTAAAAAAAAAATATATAGATAATCAGTATATTTATAGGTATTTATGTATAATAATATTTTATGGTTTTTATTTCCAATTTTTTACTTACAGACATGAAAATTTCATTATTGTTATTCTTTATATGCATTTTATTCATAATCCATTTTTCATCAGAGAGTTTATAATAAGCGACTCCAAAATGGACGATTTTCACATTATATTCTTGATAAATTACTGTAAAAATTTAATTTTACTTGTATTTTTAAACAGTGTTACTTAAGTAATTTCTGTGACTTTATATTTATTATTATTATTCATCCCTAGTGCAATATATTAAATATGTTAACTTTTTCAAATTAAAGAAATGGCAATATGCCTTTAATATCAAGGTGTGCTATTCAAAGAATATTGTATTTTCTTCCACTCAAGTAAGGCCAGAATAATATGAAATATAATATAACAATTATTTGGATTTGAATTGACTCATAGGGAATTAAAAAATCCATAAATTTACATTTAATTATTAATACATTAAGGCAGCTTTAGTGGTTCTTCATACTTCCTAATATAATATTTTTATTCTAGCAAATGTTACTTTAAATTTAAAATTTGCTTGAATAACTTTAAAAAACATATATAAGCCGTTCATCTCCTTTATAAAAGAAATTTTTAATTTTTTAATTCTTAAAAGCGTTAGGTAAAACTAATGTAGATAGTGCAAAACTCATTAATGTCAATCTTCCAATATCCAGATAATACAAAATCATTGTATTTTCGAGTTCTTAGTCCAAAAACAGCTATTTTTATTTGATTTTTATTATAATTTTATATAATGGATAACAATATTATTCATCTTAGTAATAAGCTTTTAAGATTATACCCATAAGTGTTAGGATCCACATAACCATATGAAAATCTATATCGTAGTCTAAAAATCATATTATAAAATTCTTCTGATTTTGGAATAGTTAATAATACTCTAATACATTTTTTCTATTTCATCGTTGTTTTAGATATTTCCAAAAATAATAATATTAAGATTTTGATGATTTTAACCAAAATAATTTATTTCATGATAAAAACATATTTTATTTATTTCTAAAAATAAGAATCATATATACTTTAAGGAAACTTTCACTAAGTCTCATAATGATAATTGATGCAAGTATAATCCAAATTGAAACTTAGTAATCAAATTAAAACAAACATAAAATTTCTCCAACAATCACTGCTGAATTCCATCTTAATAATATTAAAAGGGATCTCATTAATGGACTTAAGTAAATTTATTGTTTAAATATCAATTATGTTAAGCAATGGTATTTCTAAGAATAAACTAAAATTTATTATCATATCTTAGATTTTATGACTTATTTATTAATGATTATTATTGTTATAAATATATAATAAATATAAAATTTAATAACCAAACAACCTTTTTATAAAACGTAAAGTCCAAGGTTTAATACTAATATTCACTCAAACTAGCATCAATGCAATTTAATTTGATTCATTCAAGGTATTGGTTAACTTTTCAATTATTTTCCTTTAGAGGTTTGGTGCTATTTTTCCACAAAAGATCAATTTTTTTTTCATTATTAAATGTTTCATTTAGTATTTAACTTAATCGTTTTCTTTTAGGTTTATGGTTAAACCACTCTTAAATTGGAAGGTCCTTTACCGCTGAATATTGATTGTAAAATCTCAAGTCCAAGTAAGTATATTTAAGAACTTTATAAGTTTCGAATGGATTTGTTGGAAATCAATACTTTTATAATTATCTATCGGGAAATGGAACCCTTTTATCTTTGGATAAGATTACATTTCATATGTGGATGTAATTTCATTCAGAAGTGAAATTTGATGGAAGATAAATTATATTTTGTTTTTTTGATGGAAATCAATCTGTATGAATTTTTATATATTTAGAATATAAATGTGATGCTTTATTATAAAATAGAAAATGATGCCACATATTTGTATTTTGAAAACAAAGTGTTAAAATCCAATTCTATCATAATTAGACAATATATAAATAGGTAAATATCATTTTACTTAATTAGATAACTCAAAATATGGAATCATTTATTAATTTCAATAGATAAAAGTACCGATAATACATTTATTAATCTTAAATTTTTTACTGCTACTGATAATCCTTAATTTTCTCAATTTACTGAAACGTTAGTAAATTAAAAGTATATATTCTCTTAAATTTCAGGATACTTTATCAATTTGGTGGCCGCTCAAGAATTACAAATGAAAAAATTACGGAAAAAGATATCAAGGCTTGCATAAATATTGCAAATTTTTATTATATTAATGGGTGGGCAACTATGGATACAGAGTTCTATGTTGATTATGATTTGCCACTTAAATTTGGATTAAAACCATATTCATAGAATGGAATAATTGTAAGTAATATATTTTCTGACATTGTTTTGAGAAAGTAGACAGAATATATTGAATATAGTGGGAGTATTGGGATAAATTTGTATAAAAATACATAAATAGTTTATAATTTTATTGAATAATTGCCAACTTTAACAATAATTTTTTGGGTGAAACCTTAAAATATCCTATCTTCATTTTAATTTTTATCATTTACAGATGATGTATTATAAGAAACAAGTATAGGTTTTGGAGTTAATAAGTTTTATAATCTTCTGTTTTATTAAATTTATAATAAAACCCCNTTATCATATCTTAGATTTTATGACTTATTTATTAATGATTATTATTGTTATAAATATATAATAAATATAAAATTTAATAACCAAACAACCTTTTTATAAAACGTAAAGTCCAAGGTTTAATACTAATATTCACTCAAACTAGCATCAATGCAATTTAATTTGATTCATTCAAGGTATTGGTTAACTTTTCAATTATTTTCCTTTAGAGGTTTGGTGCTATTTTTCCACAAAAGATCAATTTTTTTTTCATTATTAAATGTTTCATTTAGTATTTAACTTAATCGTTTTCTTTTAGGTTTATGGTTAAACCACTCTTAAATTGGAAGGTCCTTTACCGCTGAATATTGATTGTAAAATCTCAAGTCCAAGTAAGTATATTTAAGAACTTTATAAGTTTCGAATGGATTTGTTGGAAATCAATACTTTTATAATTATCTATCGGGAAATGGAACCCTTTTATCTTTGGATAAGATTACATTTCATATGTGGATGTAATTTCATTCAGAAGTGAAATTTGATGGAAGATAAATTATATTTTGTTTTTTTGATGGAAATCAATCTGTATGAATTTTTATATATTTAGAATATAAATGTGATGCTTTATTATAAAATAGAAAATGATGCCACATATTTGTATTTTGAAAACAAAGTGTTAAAATCCAATTCTATCATAATTAGACAATATATAAATAGGTAAATATCATTTTACTTAATTAGATAACTCAAAATATGGAATCATTTATTAATTTCAATAGATAAAAGTACCGATAATACATTTATTAATCTTAAATTTTTTACTGCTACTGATAATCCTTAATTTTCTCAATTTACTGAAACGTTAGTAAATTAAAAGTATATATTCTCTTAAATTTCAGGATACTTTATCAATTTGGTGGCCGCTCAAGAATTACAAATGAAAAAATTACGGAAAAAGATATCAAGGCTTGCATAAATATTGCAAATTTTTATTATATTAATGGGTGGGCAACTATGGATACAGAGTTCTATGTTGATTATGATTTGCCACTTAAATTTGGATTAAAACCATATTCATAGAATGGAATAATTGTAAGTAATATATTTTCTGACATTGTTTTGAGAAAGTAGACAGAATATATTGAATATAGTGGGAGTATTGGGATAAATTTGTATAAAAATACATAAATAGTTTATAATTTTATTGAATAATTGCCAACTTTAACAATAATTTTTTGGGTGAAACCTTAAAATATCCTATCTTCATTTTAATTTTTATCATTTACAGATGATGTATTATAAGAAACAAGTATAGGTTTTGGAGTTAATAAGTTTTATAATCTTCTGTTTTATTAAATTTATAATAAAACCCCAGTCTGTAATTTAACTTAGAATATATGGAATCATGTTACAATTGGAATTTTGGATATTAGTTTTGATGATGATTTTGAATAACTAAATTAAAGGAAATTAATGAGAATTTTTATCGATAATGTTTAAAGTAACTTAACTGTTATAACAAACATTAAGCCATATAAAAGATTAGTTTTAGGACCTGTATTTATGGATGATAAAGGATCAGAAATAATTGATATTTAAGATATCAAAATTTTTAAAGGATTTGGAATCAGATAAACTTTAAATCATGATTGTTTGATATTTGTAGGCGATTATTGTGCATTTTGTAAATCAGGCACTCATTATTGTAAAGAATAAGATCCTAATGATGATACAAAAGTCTATCCTTGTCCAGCAGGATATAAAGAATAATAAAATAGCTGCTCCAAAATAATCATTCCAAATTGTCTCAGATTGTCATCATCTTCATTATCATGTGATATTTGTGAATAAAATTATGCATTAATGAATGGTTAATGCATATAAAACAGTGTAATTTTATCTTCTCCATTCAAATGTTCTGATTAAAATGCTTAATTTTGCTCATTCAACTAAACTTTAAATGTTCTAAGCAATACTTAAATAGAAAAATAAATAAGCAAATAAATAAGTAAATTATGTACTAATAATTTATTTTCTTCTTCTCAATTAAAATGCACTGGAGTAGCAGTGCCTTCATGCTTAAAATCGTAATTCAGAAGTTAATGTGCTTAATGCAACAATAATAATGTATTAACTGAATTAAAAGATTGTAAATCTACTTGCTCAACTAACTTACGATTTATAGCATCAAATAAAATTTGTGTAAGTAAGTGTAAAAGATATTTATTCAATCTTACTTTTCCAAGTGGTAAATAGAATACAAATTATTACTGTAATCCAGCAATAAATTGTACAATTACTGAACTTGATATTGGCTATTACTGTTTGACAAAAGAATAATTTTAAACTCCTTAAACAGTTACTTACTTAAAAGTAAACACTCTTACAACTACAAAATGCCATAGTAAATGTTATTATTGCTTTGGACCTCAAGAATCAAATTGTTTGAAATGCTTTTAAAATTTTTATTATAACCCTTATATGACATCTTGTATTCCAGATTGCTCTATAACTTAAAATAATAAATTCAATTTTAATAACAAATATAATTGGACTTGTGAATTAGAATGTCCAACTTGGTTATATACAGAGAATAAAAATTGTGTTAAAGAATGCAGCGTTGGATATAAATTATTTTAGAACTAATGTCTTAACGCAAATTTAATTGATACATATGAAGTAGTATAAGAAATTCCTGACGAAGTATCACCCAAATCAATTGTTTTACTTTAATATTGTCCCTAATTTTGTAAATCATGTACTAGCGATAAATTTTGTACTAGTTGTTTATATCAGTATCCAATGGATTAGAATATGTGTGTTAAGTCATGTTATCCTCAATACTTAGAAATAATAGATAATGTTAGTTCCTGTAGAACATCTTGTGATCCTCAAGATTTAATTTATGAGAATAACAATATTAATGGATATCAGATTAATTAATGCTTTAAGGAGAAATGTGGTACTATAAGAGCCAATAAAGATTATTAAACTTTTCTGCATCAAACTGATACTCATCGATGTATGTATCCATGTGAGGATGGATATTATGGTAATACCTTACTCTTATAATGTTTACCATGTAGCCATACTTGTGCTACTTGTGAATAAAGTGCTATCTTCTGCACTTCTTGCCCTTACTTTAAATTTTTAGATTAAAATAATTGCTATGACTCTTGCTAAGGTAAGTTTTAAAATTATTTGGACTTTGTATGTGAAGGATCATGTTCATCAGGATATTAAGTGATAGATCAATCATTAAGTATANGAAAGTAGACAGAATATATTGAATATAGTGGGAGTATTGGGATAAATTTGTATAAAAATACATAAATAGTTTATAATTTTATTGAATAATTGCCAACTTTAACAATAATTTTTTGGGTGAAACCTTAAAATATCCTATCTTCATTTTAATTTTTATCATTTACAGATGATGTATTATAAGAAACAAGTATAGGTTTTGGAGTTAATAAGTTTTATAATCTTCTGTTTTATTAAATTTATAATAAAACCCCAGTCTGTAATTTAACTTAGAATATATGGAATCATGTTACAATTGGAATTTTGGATATTAGTTTTGATGATGATTTTGAATAACTAAATTAAAGGAAATTAATGAGAATTTTTATCGATAATGTTTAAAGTAACTTAACTGTTATAACAAACATTAAGCCATATAAAAGATTAGTTTTAGGACCTGTATTTATGGATGATAAAGGATCAGAAATAATTGATATTTAAGATATCAAAATTTTTAAAGGATTTGGAATCAGATAAACTTTAAATCATGATTGTTTGATATTTGTAGGCGATTATTGTGCATTTTGTAAATCAGGCACTCATTATTGTAAAGAATAAGATCCTAATGATGATACAAAAGTCTATCCTTGTCCAGCAGGATATAAAGAATAATAAAATAGCTGCTCCAAAATAATCATTCCAAATTGTCTCAGATTGTCATCATCTTCATTATCATGTGATATTTGTGAATAAAATTATGCATTAATGAATGGTTAATGCATATAAAACAGTGTAATTTTATCTTCTCCATTCAAATGTTCTGATTAAAATGCACAATTTTGCTCATTCAACTAAACTTTAAATGTTCTAAGCAATACTTTAGATGAAAAACAAGTAAGTAAATAAATAAGTAAATTATGTACTAATAATTTATATTCTTCTTCTCAATTAAAATGCACTGGAGCAGCAGTGTCTTCATGCTTAAAATCTTAATTTAATAGTAAATGTACTTAATGCAACAATAACAATGTATTAACTGAATTAAAAGAATGTAAATCTTCTTGCTCAACTAACTTACGATTTATAGCATCAAATAAAATTTGTGTAGGTAAGTGTGAAAGATATTTATTCAATCTTACTTTTCCAAATGGTAAATAGAATACAAATTATTACTGTAATCCAGCAATAAATTGTACAGTTACCGAACTTGATATTGGTTATTACTGTTTGACAAAAGAATAATTTTAAACTCCTTAAAAAATTACTTACTTAAAAGTAAACACTCTTACAACTACAAAATGCCATAGTAAATGTTATTATTGTTTTGGACCTCAAGAATCAAATTGTTTGAAATGCTTTTAAAATTTTTATTATAACCCTTATATGACATCTTGTATTCCAGATTGCTCTATAACTTAAAATAATAAATTCAATTTTAATAACAAATATAATTGGACTTGTGAATTAGAATGTCCAACTTGGTTATATACAGAGAATAAAAATTGTGTTAAAGAATGCAGCGTTGGATATAAATTATTTTAGAACTAATGCCTGAAAGCAAATTTAATTGATACATATGAAGTAGTATAAGAAATTCCTGACGAAGTATCACCCAAATCAATTGTTTTACTTTAATATTGTCCCTAATTTTGTAAATCATGTACTAGCGATAAATTTTGTACTAGTTGTTTATATCAGTATCCAATGGATTAGAATATGTGTGTTAAGTCATGTTATCCTCAATACTTAGAAATAATAGATAATGTTAGTTCCTGTAGAACATCTTGTGATCCTCAAGATTTAATTTATGAGAATAACAATATTAATGGATATCAGATTAATTAATGCTTTAAGGAGAAATGTGGTACTATAAGAGCCAATAAAGATTATTAAACTTTTCTGCATCAAACTGATACTCATCGATGTATGTATCCATGTGAGGATGGATATTATGGTAATACCTTACTCTTATAATGTTTACCATGTAGCCATACTTGTGCTACTTGTGAATAAAGTGCTATCTTCTGCACTTCTTGCCCTTACTTTAAATTTTTAGATTAAAATAATTGCTATGACTCTTGCTAAGGTAAGTTTTAAAATTATTTGGACTTTGTATGTGAAGGATCATGTTCATCAGGATATTAAGTGATAGATCAATCATTAAGTATATATGCATGTGTTTAAAGTTGTGGATCTAAATATCAAACTTTTTAATATTCTTTGAATAATAGGTGTTATGAAGAGATGCCAGAGGTAGGAGCATATTGCGAAGGATTTAATTGTTATAATTGTAATTATAAATGCAAAACATGCTCGGGTCCAAACTCAAATTAATGTTTAAGTTGTAAACCTAAATCATATTTAAAAAACAATGAATGTATTAAATAGTGCTATCCATAATTTAATGATAGTTTAAATTGGAAATGTGTTGATGTATGCCCAGATAAATCTATAACAACCTTTGGTTCAGAAACAATTAATGGTAATTCTGTAATAGTTACATATTGTTCAGTAACTTGCTTGTTTAAACAATATTAATTCAAAGAAATTTGCTATAATTTGAAACCTTTAGAAACATACTGTTTAGATAGAAAAGACTATTATTTTTGTGATAGTTGTGCCTCAGTTTGCAAAGAATGCCAAAATGCTTACTCTACATCATGTTCAAAATGTTCCCCAGGTGCTTTTATACATGGAACTACTTGCTATACTGATTGTCCAAATATTGCACCTTATAAAGATAAAATTACATTACAATGTGTTTCTAGTTGTACATATTTTGCAGAAAATGGTTATTGCGTTTATTAATGCTCTGATTAATATTACTAATATCCCGCCCTAAGAACCTGCTATTAAATGGGATGTCCTATGGGAACTTATAATCTATAATATACAAAATTATGTTTAAGCTGTTACCCTGGGTGTGCAACATGCAAAAACGGAAATTATAATGGATGTTTGACATGCTCAGCTGGTTACTTTATGAATGGAGGGACAACTTGTATGAATTCTTGCATTATTGAACCTGATTTAGTTTAAGATTGGGTTAACGGTAAATGCGTTTAATAGTGCCCTTAAGGAACTTATATAAGAACATTAGATAGTGGAGCGCTCGCTTGTACTGAAGATTGCCCCAAATATTATTATTCTAATATTTGTGTTTCTGCATGCCCTAGCTAAACCTATTTAGATAAATAAATTTGCAAAAGTTGTGCTGGTCCATGCTCAGAATGTTTTGGTGTTAAAATTAATGAGTGCACTAAATGTGATGTTGGCTATTATAGAGATCAAACAACATGTTATTCCGTTTGCCCTGATTATAAGCCTTATGCAAATTTAGCTGACTAAACATGCGTGGCAGCATGTCCAGACTACTTATATTTGAAAAAAAATTATTGTTTTAGTCCGTGCCCTACATTTTTATACTATTATGAATTAGATGGTAAAAAAGAATGTGTAGATAAATGTTATTCTAAATCATTCTTATGGTTAGGTAAATGCTACGAATGTAATTCTATATGTAAGGAATGTTTTGGACCAAATAATGGTAATTGCCTTAATTGCGAACTTCCTTATTTTTTGAATGATTAGACTTGCTAAAATACTTGTCCTCAGTTTTATGATTTAACAGACCATGTATGTAAAGATGCATGTCCTGTTCATTTAGTAATTTAAGGAGTTAATTGTTAAAATGAATGTGATTCTGGATATTTAGTCTATAATTAAGTTTGCGTTTAATAATGCCCAAAATTCGCATATCTTGTAGATGATCACTGTTATGATTGCAATTTATTTTGTAGTTCTTGTTATGGACCAACGGCTAATGAATGCTATTCTTGCATAGAAAATTATTTTTTAGATGAATAAAGTTGTAAATCAGTTTGTCCTTTATATTATAATAATGAAACTAATAAATGCATGGCAGATTGTAGTAATATGTTTGAAATAACAGAAAAAAAAGAATGTGTTTCATCATGTCCATCAAATTATATCATCTGTTAATCTAAATGTGTTTTAGTTCTATAAGATGGATATTATTTAGATGGCAATTAATGTTAATAATGTGACTCTAAATGTTCAAAATGTACTTCAGCAACAGTTTGTTAAGCTTGTGCCAACAATTTTTATCTTGAAGTCAATTCTTGTGTTAGTTTTTGTTCAAATGAATATTTATTTATGGATCCTATTTCAAGATCTTGTGTAACTAAATGTCCTTCTACATTATATCATTTAGAATCATATGGCAAAAGATTTTGTGTAGATGACTGCAATTATATACTTTAAAATAAATGTGTGCCAGCATGCCCAAAAGGAATGTATTCAAAAGATAAAGTTTGCACTAAATGCCCATAATATTGTGAAGAATGTGAATCATTTACAAAATGTTCAAAATGTTTATTTGGTTATTATTTATAAAATGGATAATGTTAACTCAGTTGTACGATTGGAAAAACTGATAGAAAGAATATAAAGTGTGTTGATGAATGCGATGCCTCTTTATTTGAATATTAAAATGAATGTTTAGAAAATTGCCCTACTGATCCAATTCTATATAATAATAAATAGATATGTGCTCATAGTTGCCCATAAAAAACATATTAAAATTAGTAAGAATGTAAAGATTGTAATTTATCATGTGCATCATGTATTGGGCCTTCTGATTAAGATTGTATCACTTGTTCTGATGGATATTATTTGGATAATCAAATTTGTACATTAACATGTCCATAATTATATGATGAAGTTAATAAATAGTGTGTTCTTACATGTCCTAATAATCTCTACTAAGATAACAATAAATGTGTAGCAATTTGTGGTATTTACTAATACCTTAAAATCTGTGTTAGTTCCTGTCCACCATTAACTTATGTTTAAAATTCAAAATGCTATGATTGTTCTGAAAATTGTAATGAATGCAATTCTTTTGGGTGTATCAAATGTGCCCTTGGTACATATTTAAATGATGGCTTATGTAATAATTATTGCCCTTATTATTACAATAATGTTAATAATGAATGTGCTTAATTATGTCCTAAAGATAGTTATTTATATATTGATCATTGTTATTCTCAATGTCCATTGAGTACTTTTTAGTATAAAAATGACTGTCTTTTAGCATGTCCATAATTAACAGTGTTATTGAATAATTAATGTCTATAATGCCCTGAAAGATGTTTGATTTGTAAAAGTGAATATGAATGCTCTAAATGTGAAAGCCCATATTTTTTATTCAATGGCTCCTGTGTTATACATTGCCCATTATAATTACCATTTGAAGACATTACTAATGGCTAATGTGTATCTGCTTGTCCCCCAGAAGCTTATGAGAAGGGATATGAATGTGTAAAGGAATGTAATTTAGTCATATACTAAAAATAATGCCTGTAAAAATGTCCTACTGGATATTATGGTAATGATTATTGTAAACCCTGCCGATTAGAATGTAAAGCATGTTCAAGTTTTGAAGTTTGCACAGAATGTAACGATAATTTTTTCCTTGAATTTAATTAATGCGATACATTATGTACAAAAATTAAGGATATAAAATCTAAATCCTGTGTCGACACATGTAATTTATTTTTGTATAAAAATGTTTGTTACGAAGCTTGTCCTTAAAAAACTTATGAAAATATCAATGAATGTGTCTAAAATTGTAATGATGGTTATTATGGTTCTTAAGACTATAAATGTAAATAATGTCCATAAGAATGTGGAAGTTGCATAAATGCTTTAGAATGTACTAAATGTAATATTGGATATTTTCTTCATAATAAAAAATGTTTGGATTAATGTCCAGGATAATTTTTTTCTAACCCTGTAAATAATGAATGCTCAACAAAATGTCCAATATAAACATTTACATTTTAGAACTCATGTCTTTTTGAATGTCCTTCTGAATATTTTAACGATATGGATAATTATAAATGTGTAAGCAATTGTGGATCTTAATAATATTTAAGTAAAAAGAACTGTTTAAAATGTGCAATAGAATGTGATTAATGCACTGGAAGAGGAAACAATAATTGTATCAAATGCGCAAGCAGTTTTCAATTAACTGAAGATGGCCTTTGCATAGGCAACTGTAAAGATGAATATTATAAGTCAGATAATTCATGTCAAAAATGTCTACATAAATGTTAAACATGTGAAAATGGAACTGATTGTATCAAATGTAGAGGTACAAATAGAAACACTTAAGATTGCTCTTGTTAGAAAGGTTATTATGATGATGAATTTTATGATGATTGTTAAAAATGTCCTTGTGATGAATGTACTGCTATTGATAACTGTCTTATATGTAAGAATAATCTATAAGTTCCTAAATGCTCTTGCGATAGAATACTTAATGAAGATTGGTGTATAACTTGTCAAATAGCAAAGGTTAATATCTATTTCACTGATGACCTAAATTAAATAATTGTTTATTTTGGTTATTTGATTTCTGTTAATTTAATCAATCCATTTTAACCTTCAGATTGTTCTTTATGGTTTGATAATTCAGAAATTTTTGGTAAAAATTCCTAATGCTATTTATCATGGAACAGATATGCTGTTCATATAATTTTAAAGCCGTATGCATCTGTTAACATTGGAGACAAGTTAAGTTTTAAAAACTCCTTTTATAGAGATATAGACCAAGGCATTTGCGATGGTTAATTTATTGAATAATTTATTGAAAATAAAGTAAAAGAACCTTAAAATTTGTAAAAACCTTATATCCTATTTGATATCCCTTCATTTGTTAGTACATGCAAAATTATATTTATCAAATAAATCCTACTACATGGTACTGGTTAAAAAATCTAGAATGTATTGTCTTGGACTCTTAAAGAAATGGAAGATGAAGAATAATATCTACAAATGGATGCATTTTTAGCAAATCAATAAAATGAAATTACAATTCCAATTGGAACATTGTAACCAAATGTCACATATACAATCACAGCTAAATATGTTAATTTCTTGCAAAGAGTCAATTTTACTACTTTTACATTTACAACCCTTCCAATTTAAGCTCCTTATGTGTTTTTATCATATGAACCTCTGATTGCAAGAGTTTATGTATTTGATTGTCATGTCTCTTACTCAGATTTGAAAAATGAATTCAATGTTGCTATTGAAATAACAGGTAGTAATAACGAATCATATATTTCGTTAAGTTAGTAAATTAATCCTATATATGAAATTCCTCTAAATGAGTCTCTTCTTCCTAAAGAAACTCCATTATTATTTACTGCCTCAACTGGTAGTTCGATAATAAAAGAAACTATTAATCTAAAATCTAAAATAATTGATATTAAATTTTTATAAAAAAATAGATTTATAGGTTTGGATAATTAAATTAATGCAAGAGGTTTCGATAGAAATATAGAGGACGAAGTTTTGAGTACTATAGGGATTACTTATGAATGGCAATGCAACAACTTAAATAATTTATAACCTTGTAAAACTGATGAAAACTAAATTATGCAATTCCCTTCAAGAAGAATAGTCAATATCTTTGCTGATAGTTAGAATACAACTTTAGTTTTCTTTGCAAAAGCATCTAAAGGTGACAGATGGACTGTAAAAGAATAGTTGATAGTTATCACAGATTTTAACATCGAAGAAGAATTTTATATAAATAATGAAGATCCATAAAATTATATTAATGCAAATGATGAAGTGACAATCTTATTAAAAAAATAATAAAAGTATGCTTTTATTATTCAATAACATAAAATTTTGTAGTCTATGAAAATATCTGGTTTATCTTTAAAATTTAGATTAGCTGGCTTAACTACTGATTTTAAAAGTCCTGTCTACATTTATTTGGTACCAGGTAATGAATCTATAGCTTTCAAACTGAACGAATCTCCTCAAAAAGTTTTTTTGTAAATAGAGCCATTAATAGGAGAATCTCTAGATTATTTTAATTACACTCTTTCCAATCTTTAAGCTGGAAATTCAGTAAGTTTCTATTATTATTTTGAAAATTCCATTCTTGAAAATGATGTAAATGCATAATCTATAATTAATGGAATACCATTAATTACAAACTCTAAAGAAACATCTGGATCATTTTAGCTACCAAATGGAATCACAAATAATTCAATTTCAGTTTTATGTGAGATATCATCCAATTATGGGGCTAAATCTTATTTGAAATAAGATGTTTATGTGGTTAGGAAAAATTATGAGATGTAATAATTGTACCAATCATTCACTAATAAAACAAATTTAGAAGATTTATAAAGTCTTCATACTATGATTGCCCTTATCTAATTAGAAGAATAGTAGGTTTGCTTGAAATAATGCTCAGGGGTTGGGTCATGTGTAAATAAGAAATGTTAATGTCCACCAGGATATTATTTTCCTGATTGTAGTGGAAATTAAGAATAATAAATATAATTCAATAAATTTATGACTGATGTAATGTAATAATTAATCAAAACGCCAATAAAAAATAACAACGACATGAAATTATTTAGTCAATCTCTTTACTTTTTAACATAATTTAGTTCTAATAATACAATAAGTTTAGAAGATTGCTCAATTATATTACAATCATATATTTAGAATACAAATTCTAGATTAGAATAGATTAATTAATATTCAATAAATTTACAATATTAATCAACAGATGATTTTAATTATTCATAAATAGACATTCGCTCTTTAATAAATAAACAAGATTTACACACAGCCCTTAAAAGCACAGTTTTTATGTGGGAAAAGACTTTGTTTACCTCAGGCTCAAATGTCTATTAGTTATAAAATCATCTAAATAATTTCATCAATAATATCATTGAGTTAACTATCTTTGCTTTAAGCCCTGATGAAAAAATAGATTTTTCAATAGATACTGCATCTATAACAATTTAAAAATCCAAAACTCTCACTTATAATTCTAGTAGAATTTTATAAGAAATCAATAATGAGAATTCAACTATTTATGATATAGTTTAGGCGATTTACATTAGGAACTTTTATGCTTTTGATGGTTATTTCCCATATCCATAGTAAATTTATCCATTATATGTATATTAAATCAGATATTCAAACCGAAAAGAAAAAATTGACTTAAATTAACCTATCTCATATCAATTTGGAATTCAAAATGATACTACAAACTTAGTTTGTTTATAAAGAAATTCTAAGACTTATGAATGGTTTGATTAAGATTGCACAATCTCTGAAATAAATTCAACTTACTATTGTAATTGTACTTCTCTCTCTCCTACAACTATTTGTAATGACTATAATTTTCTTTATTAAGGTACTTAAGGATTCCGAATTAATATTCCAAATATTTTTTATATCATTTACATTTTTTAATTAATAATATTAGGAATTTTTGTTAGCAAATCAAAAATGTAAGAGAATGAATAATAAACTGAAAATACTAAATTTGGCCGTGTTTTTTAATTAGCAAAAAATAGAAAAAAGAAGATAATTAATACCTAAGTTTATCCTGTTGAACAAGAAAAAGACACTCGAGAATTAATAACAAAGCCATAAATAAGCAATTAAGATGGCAAAAATGATAAGTTTCATTTTAATCATTTCTGGGTACTCAATTTTAGCTTATCCTTAGAAATACCATTGCTTAACATAGTTAATATTTAAATAATAAATTTACTTAAGCCCATTCATGAGATCTCTTTTAATATTATTAAGATGGAATTCAGCAGTGATTATTGCAGAAGTTTTATGTTTATTTTAATTTGATTACGAAGTTTCAATTTGGATTATACTTGCATCAATTATAATAATGAGACTTAGTGAAAATTTCCTTAAAGTATATATGATTCTTATTTTTAGAAATAAATAAAATATGTTTTTATCATGAAACAAATTATTGTGGTTATAATCATCAAAATCCTAATATTATTACTTTTGGTATTCACAATATTATGTGAATTATATTTTTATTTAATGATAGAAAACTAAACAAATTTTGTATTTTTATTTATTAAATTTAGATATTATCTTATTGTAGTGCAATATTAATTGATATCCTTTTACTTGATATAATAATTTTTAGCTCTAAAAGATTTTTAGGGGAAAATAAGAAGAAAAACATAAGAAAAAAGATCAAAGAGCTAAAATAGCTTGCAAAAATTCAATAGTAGAATGAGTGATTAAAACATTGAATGTCATCCATCTATCAATTTTCTTTATTATATTTTATGATATTCTGATTAATATTTTAGTTATCAATTTATATTTATTCTAATTATTTAGATATACATAACTAACTTTTCTAATTTTTTAGATTTTGATTTAATTATTTTTTTAATATTATAAATTATAGTTTTTTAATAAGAAATGATAATATTTGCCTTAGTTTATTACAAATTTTAAGTTGTTGTAATTATATATTAAACTTAAATTATATTTTATATTTTTAATCTTAATTTATTAATTTGAAAAGATTACTCAATTCTTTTAATTAAGTAATATCTTTTTTTTATTTTTACTAAACCCTTAATTTTGCAAAACAATCTTTATAGTTCTACATTCATAAACTTAATTCCATTTAGATCTGGGATAAAAATTTAGAATACACATTTCTCATTGTTTC